TATTATTGAACCACAAAAATTAAAATTGAAAGAACTTCCTTCCCATCTCAAGTATGATTTCTTTGGTGCCAACAACACACTACTGGTTATTATCTCAAATGATTTTGAAGAATGGCAAGCGGAGTTGTTACTCATAGTGTTAAAAAGGTACATTAGAGCTTTGAGGTGTTCAATTGGCGATATCATGGAAATATCACCATTTGTGTGCACTCTCAAAAATAATTTGGCTGAAGATTGCAAACAAAGAATTGAGCACCAAAAGTGGTTAAATCTTCTAATGCAAGACGTGATGAACAAAGAGATCATAAAATAGTTAGATGCGAGAGTTATTTTCTCAATTGAGGATAGCCAATGGCTGAATCCTGTCCAATGTGTTCTTAAGAAAGGTTGTATAAGGGTAGTCCAAAATGAAAAGGCTGAACTTGTTTCAACTAGGCACGTTACTGGGCGGCATGTGTGTATGGAGTATTGGAAGGTAAACTTATGGATTGACAAGGATCAAATGCTTGATAGGCTTGCAGGCAAGGGGTGGTGTTGATTCCTTGATGGATATTCCAGGTACAACCAATTCTCCATTGCACTAAACGACAGGAGAAAGGACTTTCACATGCCCTTATGATACATTTGCCTTCATGAAAGTTGCCTTTGGTTTCTGCAACACACTGGCTACCTTTCAATGGTGCATGTTATTAATCCTCGCGGATATGGTTGAGGATTCAGTGGAAGTATTAATGGATGATTTTTTGGTCATCAAAGATTCTTATGAACAGTGATCGAAGAAAATAGAAATGGTGGTTCAAATGTGTGTAAATCAAAATTTGGTTCTAAATTTGGAGTTATGCCACTTCATAATGAACGAGGGGATTGTGCTTGGACACTAAATTTCATGGAATGGTTTTGAAGTCGATCAAGTTAAAATAAAAGTAATTGAAAAATTAGCTCCCCCAATCTTAGTGAAGGGAGTAAGAAGCTTCCTTGGTCATGCCGGGTTTTATGGGTGGTTCATTATAGACGTCTCCAAGGTTTCTATTCCATATTGTAGGCTTCTTGAAAAGGAAAGAATATTCAATTTTGATAATGCATGTTTGGAAGCTTTCAAAAGTTTGATAAAAGAAACTTTTCTTGGAAGCTTTCAAAAGTTTGAAAAAGAAACTTTTCATGGTCCCTACCATCATAGCACCCGATTGGAAACTTCCTTTTGAAATGATGTGCGATGCTAGCGGATAAACACTAGGATCTATTCTTTGGGCAACAAACAAACAAGTCTTTCATTACATATACTATGCTAGCAAAACTATGAATTGTTCTTTAAAAAAATTATACCGTCACTGAACAAGAATTGTTGGCTGTTGTGTGTGGTGTTTGAGAAGTTTAGAGATTACTTAATGAGTACGAAGGTTATTGCGCATACTGATCATGCTACTCTACGGTACCTAATTTCAAAGAAAGTGTAACACCCCAGATTCAAGAAAGGAAAATTTTCAAATTTTCAAATTTTCAGAAGTTGTAGGTGCCACAGACGGAGGCCACCTGCGGACAGTCAGTCGACTTACGACCCATCAGTCAGCTCCATCGATGGTCCAGTCGACTTTTAGTTCTGACAGCCAAACGAGGACTAACAGGACAGACCGTCAGGTGACTTATGACCTATCAATCAGCTCTCTTGATGGGCCAGTCAACTTTTAGTTCTGGCAGCCAAACGACGGCTGACAGGAAGGACCGTCGTTTGACATATGGCCAGTCAGTCAGCTCCGTCGATGGGCCAGGCGACTTTTAGTTTCAGACCCCACATTTAAGCCCTTTGACAGCCAAACGACGACTGATAGGACAAACCGTCAGTCGACTTATGGCCCGTTAGTAAGCTCCATCAATGGGTCAGTCGACTTTTAGTTTAGGGGTAATAGGGTCTTTTCCTAATTATTTTATCCCTAAACTACTTCGTTTTGGTCAGTTTTAACCTTTTATTCTAGTTATATTTTACCCTAAACAATTATTCTCTATAATTCACCAAGCTTAGAACAAAAGATGAGAAAGAGACGACTCAAAACCCTTCCAAGAACTTAACAAGTTTTCTTCAGTTCCCACCCCGAAATCGAAAGATTTGATACACTCAAATTACACCTCCCTAAAGAAGTATAAG